TGCAAAGTAGGGTCGCTCAGCTAACGCTGGGTTTCTTTCATACCTGTTACAGATTCGGAATACACGGTTATAATACCTCTAACGCAGTTGTAGCAGAGCCTTAACACTCGAGTATATCATGTGTAAAATCACGAATAGTACTTACTTCCGAGAATAAGTGATAGAGGAAGGCTGAGGCTGGAGTTTAAGAAAACGCAAAAAGTTGTTGCCTTCAATGGATTCACTTTGCTGCAAAAGTTCAACCGGTCTCAATCACCTCAGTATTTATTCACATAAAAAGAATTAGCGGGTAACGGAAAAATTTGGGTTTATTCAATGCTTCATAGATACTTTCCGGAGGTAGAATTCGATGCAGTTGTTTTTTGTTATCGAAGCCAAGATTAAGCCCTGATTTCATCTGGGGCTCTTCAACTTATCAATCAGTAAGAACCCTTTTTCAGTTACAACTCACCCTTTGTTTCCCGTTTACGTCACACCTTCATGCCTTCAAGTGGGAAACAGAAAAAATTGAAAAGAGACGTGAGGGACGCTATGTCGGAAGGAGTGCTAGTGTTCGAGGAAGTAAGAAAAACAAAAGAAGATTGAGTTAAAGTTATTGAACTCAGTCATCCAGCTTCTCGTGGGTGGACGAAATGGAAAGTGGAATGGCGGAGCGCAAAGACTGGACCACCGTCGAACATACGAACTGGAGAATCAAAGCTGAAGTGATGATTGGAATGCTTTTACAGTTCTACTTTGAGGGGAGTCTGGCGTTTTTAGGGTGTGCCACTGTTTCTAGACGATAATGTTGACAAACGGATAGCAACACACAATCACGAGATGAGCGTAGTCGTTTGTGACCATGCCAATCCCGACGCAGCTCACAAAGGAAGGATACTTGGTCGTAGTGGCAATTCAAGATGAGATGTATACTCCTGCAGGTGGTTCGAACGCTGATCTCAAATCTGTGTTCCAAATCTGCGATACGATTCTGGGAACAAAGTTGCCGATACCTTCCCTGTGTTATACCATTGTACCGAACGGATCACAGTGCTAAGCAAAGAAGTACGTGTGCAACGGTGGCGCAGCTGTTAGGTCGGTGGACTGCTAGGCATAACACCAGGGTTCGACTCCTTAATGCATGCGCTTGATGTTCTTTTCCATGGAATGCCTCCCAAACGCTTGCAAAACATTTTTGGGCTCAATGTTGGGGCTGTCAACAAGGCTCCCTCACGATTTAGGATTTCGGAGAATAGAAAACCAATAATTTTTTTATCTCAACTGACCGAATATATACGCCTCTCTACCCTGAACAGTGAAGATGATGTTTCGAAATCTTCGGCAGCTCCCTACACTTACGGTAGACGGCGGTCGAATGACTCATCTACCATATCGCTCTTTGGTAGGGATAGGTACTCAATCTGAGAATACCGTCCGCGCTTTCGAAGCGGTGGTACAAGTTCACCTGTATCACCTGTCGTCCCGTTGATCGTCGATTTCCTCGAGCGGGCGCCAGTAACGTCTCCATTCGTCCCTGTCACGAGCCAGAGTGGACCAAATGAATCGCTCCAGGGACACGAGGATCAACATTCCTTTCGTTTAGAGCTTTCGTGAAGAAGTCTGACCATCTCGTTCGCTGCCGTCCTGGAGTTCGTTTGATGTCCCGAGGAATCCAGTCAGTAAACGCTCTGGTCCAACGGTCATCGCTATATCGCATAACGTGTCCGGCCCACCTGATCTTCGATTTCTTGCCGTAGTCAACGGCATCCCTGATCTTCGTTCGTCGACGGAGTTCGGAACTCCGGATTCCCTTCGGCACTTGCCTGTACAGGGAAATTCCGAGCATCGTCCTCTCCAAAGCGCGTTGAGCAACGCTGACAGCATGCTCACCCTGCTTTCGTAGAGTCCAAGTCTCTGAGGCGTACGTCAAAGCAGGGAGAACAGCGGTGTCGAAAAGGT